AGTTCAAGGTGCTGGTTCTTACCTTTAAAGCCCTATATGGTCTTTCCCCATACGTTCCTCAGAGAGCACTAAGATCAGGGTCCCACAATTGTCTGGCCCTCCTAGGCCCTAAAGAAGCCAAGCTAGCTGTGATGAGGGCCAGGGCCTTCTCTGTGGTGGTCCATTGCTCGTGGAATGAGCTCCCAGATGACATCAGAGCCCTGTGGGGCCTTTTACAGTTCCACACGGCCTGTAAAATGGAGCTCTTCCACCAGGATTTCGATTAGGGTGCTGCCTTTCAATATCGTGGCCCTGGCCCCAACATCAGCCCTAACTTAATGACTAACATCCTGGCAAGAACCCAGATTATGGTGGTAGTTGACCATCTGGATGCTGAGAGAACGCCGCCATCTTTTATTAATACTTATGTTCAGGGGGCGTTTCGTAGAAAAAGCTAGGGGAACTCATTAGCATAACTCATTAGCATACGCCACACCCCCTGCCATCACTGAGGCCACACACCCCTGCCATCACCGGAAGTGTGTCATAAGGCCACACCCACCACTCAGTCTTAGTCTTAAAGGTTAGTCTTAAAGGTGCTATTTGAACTCTTGGACTATTTTGCAGCAACAGACTAACACAGCTACCTCGGGGAAGCTCCTGGATGGGGCTGGGAGTCCTTGCAGAGGCCACGTGGAGTGGCCTCGGCCAGGCAGAGGGGGAGGATGCCAACTTACCCTCCTGCTTCTTCCTCCTTCTGCAACAGAATGAGGCTGGAAGAAGGGGGCGGCCGGAAGAAGGGGCGGGGCTTCGTCATGTGCCACGCCCCCTGCACCTCACCCGGGGGAACTGCGATCCCCCGTGATCCCCCCCGAAATGACCTCTGCTTATGTTTCTTATTACCTTAATATTACATGTTGTGGTTTTAATTCATTTTTCTGTGTTTTAACATATCTTGTTGTTTTAATATATATATTCTGTAAGCCTCCCTGAGCCCGCCACAGCGGGGAGGGTGGGATCCAAATTAAACAAATAAATAAATAATAAATGTGTGATATACGTTAGTATGTAGCATTTAACAATAATAAATCCATTAATCACCATCAATAGAAATTCTCTTGATAAGGAAATAAATTTCTTATTTGGCTCTGTAAGCTATTGTCCGGAAAACCAAAGGTTGGATGGCTACAATCTTGTTTGTCCACTAACTTTTGGCAATACGAATCAATGCTGTGGGGATCTTGAGTTGGGGGGACAGTTTGCCCCCTTTGCCCTCCCTTCCTCTGTGTACTGTTGCCAGTCAGCCCCTCCGTCCCCTGCCCAATAAATCACACGATTTATAGTTAGCCTTTGCTGGTAGGCACTATCTTTCTGAAATTAACGCCTATCATAATTTTCTTTCTTCAGCTATATGACTGTGGATAGTTTTCAACGTGGCATTTTTACATGGCCAATGAATTTTGGGTGGAAGCCAATTCCTCCAGATGTCATTCGGAAAAATAAGATTAAGGACACTGATATAATTCGGTAAGTATATGAAGTTAAGCTTGTGTTGATGAAGTTGATCCTACAACATTAAGCCCTTAGGATTTTATGTCCTGATTGATTTAGAATATTTCTGTTCCATACTTTTCATGACAGATGCCCAAGGCAGATTGGATGGGAGAAGGCCATGCAATTCTTCCGGTTTTCATGACAAAGGCAGTATGCACAGATCATTAAATACTGTGCTGTCATTCACAGGAAAATCTAGGAGTTGAATTCAGAAGCTGACTGAGGTGTCAGCACAGCCATAGAGCAAGCTGACCCAGCAGAAGAGACAGCTTGCTCCTGGCCACAAGTGGCCCTCCAGAGCAGTGGTACACCAGGAACTTTCCTGATAAGTTCAAGCAGAGGTCGATTCAGGGGGGATCGCAGGGGATCGCAGTTCCCCTGGGTGAGGTGCGGGGGGCGGGGCACACGACGAAGCCCCACCCCATTCCGGCCACCCCCTGCTTCCAGCTTCATTCTGTTGCAGAAGGAGGAAGAAGCAGGAGGGTAAGTTGGCATCCTCCCCCTCTGCCTGGCCGAGGCCACTCCACGTGGCCTCCGCAAGGACTCCCAGCCCCATCCAGGAGCTTCCCCGAGTAGCTTTGTTAGTCTGTTGCTGCAAAATAGTCCAAGAGTTCAAATAGCACCTTTAAGACTAACAAATAGCACCTTTAAGACTAACCTTTAAGACTAAGACTGAGTGATGGGTGTGGCCTTATGACACACTTCCGGTGATGTCAGGGGGTGTGGCCTTATGACACACGTCCGGTGATGTCAGGGGGTGTGGCATATGCTAATGAGTTATGCTAATGAGTTCCCCTAGCTCTTTTTCTACAAAACGACCCCTGAGTTCAAGAGGCCGGTCCACTCCTTAGCAAATTACTACAATAGCACAATATAGAATCATAGAATCATAGAGTTGGAAGGGACCATACAGACCATCTAGTCCAACCTCCTGCCCAATGCAGGACCAGCCTAAAGCATCTCTGACAAATATTCATCCAGCCTCTTCTTGAAAGCTGTCAGTGAAGGGGAGCTAACCACCGCTCTAGGCAGCTGATTCCACCTTTGAACTACTCTGTGAAAAAGTTTTTCCTAATAACTAGCCGATACCTTTCTGCATGCAATTTAAACCTGTTGCTTCGGGTTTAAATTGCAGATGTAATATCCAACAATGTATGTTTTGTCCTATTCATAATATTGTTGTGTTGGAGAACTAGGTCTTTCTTGGGTACAGACTAGCATCACAGAAACCACAGTAGACACAGCTGTTAGATTCCTAAAACAATAACAGATGTTTCTTGCAAAGTATACATAGCACAGATGGGGAACAGTCATCAGTTTATAAGATTTTAAGAACTATTACATCTGCAACAAATTGAAGGCTAAATTGGGGGGGAAGCAATTGCACCCATACTGTACACTTGTGATGTTTTGGGCTGGCTAGCCTCACCACACTCCAGATTCCCCCAATATTTTTAAAAAACCTTTATATAAAGAAAAAATAGCAGCAGAGGTGGCTGCTGAGCAGTGCCAAGATCCAGTATGATCCATGCAAGCTTGCATTCAAGCACAAGGGAACATGGATTGTTGTTCCATTCCAGATATTTTGGACAGGTGTCCTATAAAGGCCTCCTCCTTCTATATTGTCCATGCTTTTATCATGGTTTATTTTATAAGCCACCTTGAGCAGGTTCTCTGGAGTGGCAGCAGAGAAACTTTCTGAACATGCAAAATGAATTAATCATTACAAGCAGTACGTTTTTCCCTCATGTACAATGCACATACCTGATTTCTGGTTCATTTGCTAGGTGTCCTGTAATGGCAGGCGGGTTATTTTCCATTGATAAGAAATATTTCTTTGAACTTGGAACATATGATCCTGGCCTTGATGTTTGGGGAGGGGAAAACATGGAGATTTCATTCAAGGTATGTTATGTTCCTAAACAGTACTTTCATTTAATTTTTTTTTTTAATTCTGTAGTTTTGCAAAGCATATGAGCATTAAATTAATTTTCACAAACCACTGCAGAGATGCTGAGGTTTGCATATGTAGTGGCTTCCACAAGATAAATGTGTAGAATTCAAACAACAAATAAAGACCCAAAAGTTGTTATGTAAGAGGCATCATTTAACAGCCTAGTCCTAGGTATATTTATTTGGAAATTTGCCCTCCAGTGTTCATTGTAGCTTACCCTGTTTTATTGAGAAAGCCAATGTGGTGAATGGTAAGAGTAGCACATAGGGATTAAGTGGTAAGAGTATCACATGGGGATTAAGTTCTTAAGATCACTAGATGACCCTGGGCCTCTCCCTCCTGTCAGCCTAACCTACCTTACAGGGTTTGGTGTGAGGGTAAAATGGAGGAGGAGAGAATCATGTACACTGCTCTGAGATTCTTTAAAGGTAGTGATAAATATAATAGACTAGGAATAAGGCCCGTTGTGAAAATTAATACAACGAGCTCTATAAAGAGGCTCTGGGAGAGTGCCAAGGCTTTGGGCACTCAGTGTCAATTTGCTGTGGCAACCTCCTCAAACCCCACCCTCTCCAGGCTCCACCCCTGAAATCCTCAGGAATCTCCCAACCTGAAGTTGGCAACCCCATCCCCTTCCCAGCTAACCATCAACCTACCATTATTTGCCCCTCTGACTGCAGCTGAATTCTGCCCTCCCTCCTGGAGATCAGTTGTAATTTTGAGTGATCTTCGCCCCTCACCTGGAGATTGGCAACAATGGTTCCCCAGGAGAAAATGGCTGGTTTGGAGGGTGGAGTCAGGCATTGTACCTGTCTGAGGCCCCACCCCTCCTCAAACCTCACCCTCTCATAGTTCCATCCCTCAAATTTCCCTACCTGGAGCTGGCAACCGTAGTCAGGACTGGCCCCAATGAGTTCCTCACAAAGGCCTGCGAAGGGTTTCCTTCCTTTGTCTGAACCAAGCTTGGTTGCCTACTGTGACAAAATGGGCTCCAGTTTACAACTCAGCTGTTCACGTCCCACCCTCATCCTGTGGGCATATCTTACTCCTTAAATTCGCTGCCACCACTCACTGAATTGTCACTGCCTTTTTAGAGGGACAGTGAGACCCCTCTGGCCAAATCTCCCTATTTGGAGATGGAATCCTC